TAAAATTTTAGCCTCCTAGCTTTTCTGGGCCCTGAGTTAGTGGTTTTCCCGCCTAAAACTTCCACAAAGCCGTATGTGAGGACTACGCTCACCTACGGGCTGAATTTGAAATCTTTGATTCTGCGCAGGCGGGAAGCACCTCCTTAAAACTCCAGTCTTCCAACTTTTCTGGTTCTCAAATTAAGAGTTTCCTCGCCAAAACTTTTGTCTGGCCGGTTCAGACACGCTTGAGATTTGGTACCGTGGTCCTGGGATGGCAATTGCCCAGGGAACCCATTGGCAAAATTTTAGCGCTGGAGTTCGCTTGGTTGCCACACAGACATGTATACAAGCACAGACGCGGACATACACATACATGCGCACCATGCATCGTCAAAATATGTTGTATATGTGCGAAAATGCATAATCATGACGAAAACACTGCTATGCAGGCTTCATAGACAAACGCTAAATACCTTTGCGATATCATCACGATTTGCGCAAAAGTCAAAGCGTTTGATCTGTCCGGCATAATACTTCTCCGCAACTGTTATAAATGCATTTTTTAATTTTGATATTGGTATGTAAAGACGGTTTGCAATCTCCAGTGTGTAGCTTCGAGTTTTGTTCTGTGCATTTTCAATAATAAGATCATGCATATATCGCTCGAAATCCTGTGACGTTTGACCTGAAACACATCGTGAATATGTCCAAATGCCTACTCTAAAAAAGATGTTATCTTTGATATTTATAGTATACAATTCTATTCTGTTGTTGCCGGAGACTTCTCTCCGTAAAAAATGAGTCTGCGGTGGAGGAAATCTCGAGTCTCTTTTAAAAAGAAAAAAGCATAAGTCATTTACTTTGCATTATCCAGTTGAGGCAGTTACTAATTTGTACCTTGAATCATAAAATTGGCCTGACTTTGGGCACAAGATTAGCGCATTCATGCCCACAAAGGTTTTTTTTTTTGCCATAAAACATTTTTTTTTTTGAGGAAACATATAAAATACAAGGCACAAAAGTTGATCTCAGCACAGCCAACTTGAT